TATGTAGGTTGTGCAAGATTTCCTCCATCCACCGTATTATATGTCCGAGTTGGAACAGGTGGGCGCCAGCTTTGACCTTGCCAAGGATGGGCCGAGGCGCATATGCGTGACTTGTCTGGCAATGCTGTTTATGAGAGAGTTTCCAAACAGGCAGAATGAGCCTGGACAAGCCAAAGGCGCGGTCTGCTCAATCTATGACTGGTGACAAGCAATGGTCTCCGGTTCTCAGCCAGCTTGCGAAATGCCGCCATGGATTTTGCAATGTTTTGTACCTGACTTCTGCGTGGCCCAAGAATGAAGTCGCGGCTTTTTCGAGGCAGTGGAGCCGAAAGTAAGGACCCGGCTGCGCGAGTGACTCAGTTCCTGCTACATGCCAACTTGGGCATGGATTTCATCATGTCGGACAAGGTCACCGGGCCTGCCCACAGTGTTCGCGCTTCTTGAGCGGGACCCCTTGTAAGGTTTCCATACTTGTCCATGCTCCTTCGCGTAGTGGAGATGTTCATCTAAGGCTTTTGGTGCATGATTTCATGGAGTACGACGCCCCCCCAGTTTCTCTCTGACACGACACAGATCATCGCTTTTATGGCTGTGAACGTGAGGTCCCACAGGAGTCTATTCCACGGCTGACGACGTCAATCGGAGCACTTGCACGCTTCAATGGGTTCCCAGCTGAGAAAGATTTGCACAAACCTGGCAAGTTCAAGAGATGCTGCTCCCAACGAAACAAGATGAAGCAAGGCTTGGCGTCAACAGCTCGTTGACAGCTGTTGGTCCACTGCTCAAGCTGTAATGTGCCCGTGCAGTCGCCGTTGAATTCGAAGTTGGGTGCCGTATGTTTACACTTGCTGGTGTGTCTCATTCATGCCAGGCTTCCTTTGGAACGTGGCTGATGCCTTGGCGAGGTATCATTGCGCCCAGAACCTACGCCAAGATGACTTGTCCATGAGAAAGCTGCTGGTCGCCCTAGTAGCTTAGCTTCGTGCAATTGCATGCAATTGCAGGATTGCATGCTATTGCCATGCTATTGCCATCCTGGCTCGCAAGAAGGGCTTTGGTTTTGAGCCCTTGCTCCGCTTGCTCCCCCTTCCACCACGTGGCAGGAGCAGCGGAGCAGTAATCTGTTTCAAACATGGCGCCGCTGAGCTTTGTTGCTCCATACACTGGCAACAGCAACCTTGCCCATGGAAGGCTGACGTGCGCTTACCACAGTGTACTACTTTGCAGTAGTCAGTCAGAATTGATTCGTACTTTATTCCTTCAGGCGATCCCAGGCACCAATGCAACCCCAAGTAGAGCTGGATATCCATCATCCCATGTACATTTGTCATTGAACTTAAAGGCAGCTGTGCCAGGTTAGAAGCTGCGCGCTCTCTCCGTGCCTCCAGAATGGCAGAACAACCATCGCCAGGGTCAAGTGATACTTCAAGGCTTGACATGGCTGGACGAGGGGAGACCACAGAAACTGCTGTTTTGCTTTGTGTGCTGTTTCCTCCAGTCTTGGGCGGGGCGACTTCCTGCAATTTCTGGGCGTCTCCACCATGGCAGCCATCTTCACAGTGGGCTCCCTGCGCTCCCGCGTCCGGGCACAGGCATTGATCCAAGTGGGGCACGTGTTTCAGAATGTTGGTTTGCTGCATGCGGTTGTGAACGTAAAGGCACCGACCTGAGCCGAGGTGCCTGGAGACCCCAACCTGCTGCTGGGTGCTTTCTCTTGCGGCACGACTACACTTCGAGATCCGAAGTACTTAGGTGGAGGCAGGGTACCTGTGGCAAAATGTCATGAATGCCAGCTGATACTGTGAGTCAACAATTTGACATGCTGAAGGCGTGCAGGCAGAGGTCTTCTCAGCCAGCGTGGCTGGCAACGGGCAGGCCGTAATCAAACTCAGCCGAACTAACACCGACTATGCACAGCGAGACTTTGCAGCATGATTGGGGGGGGCGTCACTCGGTAGTCAGGCTGTCAGATGCTGTCAGGCTAGCTGGCAAGGCTGTCCGCTTTACTTGGCCCATATTGCTGCGTCATGACATGTTACAACCAGGAAGCCTCGCGCATGAGCGAAGAGTCCTTCAGATCTTGAACGACGCAAAGGCCTTTCGACCCGAAGTTGCCCTGTGACAGTTTGAGCCGCGATGGGCAGCCAAGAGCTGCGCAGGAACCACGTCTGCAGCTTTTGCAGCTGCAGCTCGTAAATAGATGCCGTCATGAAAGTCATGTGCAGAAACATGGTCGGATCTCACAATGTTACTGTGCTTTCTGACAATGCACAGGATCAAATTTACAGAACTGCAGACTATGTTTGTCTGGACTATTCTACTATGTCTCTATGTCTTGCACATCTCAAGTCCTTGCAGAAGCAAAAGCCTCATGAGCGTAAGGGTGTCCAGGTTCCAAATGTGGAGCGCTGCATTGGCTTTGGAGAAGTGACGACCACAGCGGGCCCTCGCCAGGGCCGCTTGGTCCGCTTTGATGTTCTCTCGTACTTGCTGTGTTATGTAGTCTTCTCCCGCGAGTCACTACATTCCAGCCGGATTCAGATACCAATGCCCTAATTAGTGCTTTCCTAGACTCTAGACAAGAGCCAGCTGAGCTCACGATAGCTCAGGTATGGTGCTCACACCTTGCCTGCCACTTGCCTAAAAGCTGTGCACTCAAATCATTGTTGACGTCAGCATCAGCTGGACACTGCTGGACAGGCCAGGTCGCAACATTTCAGTGAAGACAGGCGCTGGAAATCCGAAGCTGTTAGAGTCTCAGGAGGCCAGGATCCACAGTTCGAGCAAGTTTGGAAAACCCCCGGAGTTGGGATTTGCTTCATGTGCCAGGAAGCGCGTATGGAAAAGTTCATGGCGACTGCTGTGCCTTTCGTAAGACTTCATGCAGATCCGCCATGCTCCCTCACTTCTGATGCCGCACTTACATAGTTTCTTCGCAGTAGCGGCATGCCTCTGTGTTGTTCTCGTGCATTTCGTGCATTTGGCCGCTCAGGTGCGCGTGTTGGAGGCCGGCGTGGCCGGAGTTGACGTTCAGGTGCCAGACAGGTGAAAGAATGGCAGTGCACATGGCTTCAGGTGTTTGCACGTTGTTGGCAGGTGCTACAGTCGCCAAGCAGCAATGAGATGCTGTGGAGACTTTGCTGCAGCTGGGCGCAACGCCAGGCAGAAGTTGACAAAACTTCTAATTCCAACATCCAAGAATTCCAGCAGTCGGAGCGCCCCAGCCCAGGATTGATTTCACAGAAGCGGCCTTGCTGAGCAGCAAAGGAGGTTGGGGTCACAATAGGTGGAGGGGTCTTCTCAAGAATTGAAACCGCCAACCGCAAACCATTGAGCTGCTTTAGTCATACTGTTTTATAATACACTCCTTCATTTGCGCACAGGCTGGCCAGGGCTTGAGTAAGCGAGGGCCCACCGTCGCAGCGCCGCGCAAAGGAAGACAACAGCGGCTCTGCAATTGAGGAAATGAGAGGAAGAGCACAATGCCATTCACACTTACGGCCTTAGGGCACCATGCCAGGGCTTGCAAACTACGGAGGCAAATTCAGGGCAAGCAAGGCAACCAAACGGTTTGAGCACATAAGCCCAAGGACAACGATCGAGAATTGCTTGGCCAGGAGGCCCGGCACTGCCGTGTAGCATCACGCAGATGCAACGCTCCTGTCCGAATTTGACGAAGACGTCTGTACGACGCCTCAGACGGCAGACTCCACAAGCATGACAAGCTGCTTCGGCACCCTCCTTTGGAGCTCGCCGCTATCAAGGCTGGCAACCCTTCAAAAAGGCAACAGCTGGAGACAAATCAGATAATGTCAAAAAGTTCTGGCCAGCTGCGCCGCCGCGCCATCATCATGCATTCTCTGGCCTTAGCACTTGTCTTGATTGTCTTTTTCCAAAGCAGCATCTACCAAGCTCCAGCAATCAGACTCCGACACTCCAGTGACGTGAAGTGCTTCTTTCATGAGACTGTAGACACTGTTTTGGTAACGGGTCTGTTCTGGATGGCTGGCAAAGCTCCCGACAGTCTTTGGCATGTTGTGCCCGCAGCACAGAGGACTGACACAGGACAGCCATGTCCTCCCGAACCCCTTAAAAAAGACTGCTAGACATCTTCTGTGAACATGCTTTGCACATCGATATATGTTGTCAGGCTTGCTGAGATGTAGTCACTTAAGATTGTCGCTGTAGTGCAGCTGCCATAGTTTGGAACTTGTAACCAAAGCGGTAAGCGTCTACTGTCTCATTTTCTGTGTCTACCGTTTCATGTCCATTCGATCTTGAAAGCTCCTTTACTTCTGGAACCTAATGTTCGCTTAAGTTTGTTGACG